CACAATACAATACACAATACAATATACAATGCACAATACAATACACTTTACACAATATATTATACAATGCACAATACAATACTGTATTGTATTGTGCATTGTATATTGTATTATGCATTGTATATTGTATTGTGTATTGTCAATACACAATACAATATACTGTATATACAATGCACAATACAATACAAAATAATACAATACAATGCAGCATACCATGTGCACTTTGTCTTTGTAACATTACATACCGCTCCCACTTCAGCCAGCTCCCGATCCCGATTCCCGATACGAGTCCGACCGTGGGTCACCAAGAGAGGGTGAAATCGCCTCCTCGCTCGGTTCCAACTTAAAAATTTGTGCACCGGGCGCTCCCGAGTCCCTCAACAGGTCGCCGTCGCCTCCAGGATGACGCCACTGCCGCCACACTGCCTGCTGGTCCGGTCCATCCGTTGCTCCGCATCCTGCAGCCCGCATCCTGCAGTCACTCACTGACGTAGCCAAGGAAGGACGAGACACTCAGTGAGACTGAGTGTCACTGAGCCTGAGACGTGAGACTGCACTGCACAGGTCAGCGCCGCATCCTTCAGATCCCGCATCCTTCAGATGCCGCCCGCCCGCAGCGGCAGCCCACACACAGAGTCTGGTCTCGATTGGGCAACTTTTCCGCTCTGTTCCCTGGCGCCGTAAGGCAAGTGCCCATCTTGCCTTGCGCTAGCGCCGGCCCTGCCCACTGTTCCCTTCCAGGTACTGGTACAGGTTCACATTTCACTCATCATTGAGCACTGGCTCTTGCAACAGCTCACTCTGGCGTCATATAGCATATTTAAAGAAAGGAAGGAAGCTGCACTCCAAACTGCCAAGTATTTTATTCCATTGCTGGATCAAAGTCAATCCACCTGAGCATCATCCCTCTGATAAAATTCACTCACGAGAGCTTATTTGTGGCGTCTCATTTTGTTACAAGTGGGACTTCTAATAACTGATGTCACCTGTATTTATTTCTATGCAGATTATGAAAGCTTGAGGATTGGAGGACTGGTCTTTGCAGTGGTCTTGTTCATATTGGGGATCCTACTGATTATGAGTGAGTTTATATGTGTAACCTTTTTTTATTTGTATTTGCACATCTGCTGTCACATGACTGTCAGATACACATAGCCATGTGCATCCATGGCTTTGCCTATTCAGGGCAAAATAACAAAGTATCTTTAAAGCCTGCTTCTGATCCATATGTTCTTGTCTTTCCCACTCTTCTCTTTTGCTTAAAGTCTTCACCCTGTGTAAGCTCCATGATTGATTGTGTCAAAGCTTAGTGTGTAACATCAGGTATAGAAAGTGGGATTAAATGTTAATAAATTAGATATATGTTAATATTTGAGAATTAGCTATCACCTCACCGCACATTAAAAGAATCCTCCAAACTTTGCAACTACAAATCAGGAAGGAGGGAAACATCCTTCCACATTGGAGCACCCCACTGTCCGGGATCCTTACTTATTTTACAAATATCTCTCATAAAATCCTGAATATTAGTTGTAAGGGGATGAGAGTTATTCCTTCAATGGTACAAACTTTCAGCTGCATGTGGATACATTGCCTTGTATAACCACCTAGGGACCAACGGTGGACTCTGTCCGCAACAATCATGTTGTGCTTTGACTCAGGATGCAATCAGGATGATGTGCTAATGTCAAGAATCTTAACTCTGACCCAGCCATCAGAGACGGTTGATCCATATAACCCAAGGCCACTTTAGAGGACAGAACTTTCCTCATACCCAGCAGTGTGACTCCAAAGGTGAAACTGGCCAAAGAGGAAGAGTCTGTCTCACATCCTTACCTCGATAAGTTAAAGGAGAACTATGAGGTGAGTGCCTTTCACTCACCTCATAGTTCTAGCCGACCTGTGACAATGAGAATCAGAAAAAGAAACTGTGTAATTCATCCAGAGTTTTTTTCTGAACAAGGTGGCTACTGTGTGCTCCCACCAACAGGGTGAAACAATACTGCCCAAATGATAAAGTTTACTTTTGTTTTTCTACCAATTTTATTTTATAGCAAATAGCCAATATTTCTGTATGCCAATTTCTTTTTTTGTAATTGTTACTTCTGTATATATTTCTGCACTGTACCACTTTTTTGAGACTTTTATTATAAAATTAATAAGTTGGCATTCTGTGTACTTAGAAAATAATTCACAACTCCTAGAAACACTGCTACCTATTATATTACTAGTGTTTGTATGCTCAGTTGCAAAATGGCTGCTAATCTGTGTGTGATTGCAATGTGTGACTGCTCCATTTTCTCTATAATTGCAGTGAGTGTCTGAGGGAAGAACGAGATGGCTGATCTGACTGCATGCAGATTAGTGTCAGCAAATGGGATATTTGTGAATGTGTGTATGCATGGTTGCCTAGCAGACCAGTCAGCAGGTGGCATCTACCCTGATCTCGTGATCACTGCATCTTGGTAGAAGGCCAAATACTCCACCATACCTAGAAGCAGTGGATATTTCGAAGTGGCTCCAATGGAGCAACAGACTGATGAGGGAGTCCAGGGAAGTGGATTGGGGAGGTGAGCTTTACATTGACTCTGAATGGGCAATAGTGACAATCTCTTAAATGTACTTAATGAGAAATGCAGTGACTGTTTAGAATTTCATCTTTTTATTGAGCTAAAGTACAGTTGACTTGGGCCTGTAAAAGAATAAGGAAATACACTACCACAATGTTAGGCACATTGCAAGGCTACCAGGTCACCATCTCTATAGATTTCTAAGTGCAGAGTTTAATAGGAAACATCATCACATATGGAATATCATACTGGCATTATTCACAATAACAGAGACATAAATATAGCCAAATATGCCACATTTCCAAGACAGTTGCGCCTGGCATATGACAGTTATCAAAGTATTTTATTTTCTGTTTGGCAATAAAACATTATTACCTTTTTATTGTATTTGCATAGGCCAAACTTCTACATATGGACATATTCTTAAGTCTACACAGTACCGCACCGCCTGCACCGGCGGTAGTTCCGCCACTGTGTCTACATGTACTGTATCAGTTCTATCCACCCTAGTAGGAATAGTATACATGGCCATCATAAGAAAGTCACAATCAGGATGCTTTCAGCAAACACAATTCTTGCATTTAATGTTTTTTAGTTGTTACAATTAATTTATTTTGTGCTTACACAGCATTCCCATTGAAAAAGTAAGTAAGGGCCCATTCACATTGGGACTGCACTGATAGCCTTGTACAGTGCAGTGCCAACACATAGATAAGGAAATATTGTTGTTTTAAATAAGATCAGTTTAAACAACAGCATTGTGGTGGTTTGCACTGGAAAATATTTTGCATGCATTACTTTTTTTCAGAGCAGCGTGTTGCAATGCAAACCATCACAACAATGCTCTGGTGAATAGAACTTAATGAAAAGTCACATGACATGACATTTCAATTAAGTTCTAACACAAAAGTGAATGGTACAACACGCTGGGATCAGGGCTGTTGCTCTCAGGACACACCAGTGGCCATGCGTTTAGCACAGATGGCCACTGCAGGCAAACTTTTAATGGAAGTTGAAATCCAGTAGATTAAAGGAGAATTATGAGGCGAGTGATTTTCACTCAGCCTCATAATCTGAGCCGACCTGTGACCGCGGATATCGGGACCGGCAACGACAGTGACAGCTGCTGCTAATACAAGCGATCGGGCGTCTCTAGACTGGTCACGTGGTCATACATTTTAACGTAACCCCACCCACGTAACCCAGCTGTTTCAGAGCAGATCAGCATTGCAGATCGTATGTGCAGGAGAACCGATCTGCCCTGAAACAGCTGATTGGTCCGGAAATGTCCCTTCTATCTGATTTTGTGAGTGCGATCTCACATTCCACAAAGTCGGATAGATGTGACATTTCATGACCGATAAGCTGCTTCAGGGCAGATCGGTTCTCCTGCACATACGATCTGCCATGCCAATCTGCCCTGGAACAGCTGGGAAAGCGTTGGAATTCTGCACCTTTTGCCGGTTACATATTCCACCGCCGAAACAGTGGGTGGGATTACGTTAAAATGTGTGACCATGTTACCAGTCACACATTCCACCGCCGAAAAACTGGGCGGGATTACGTTACAATGTGTGACCACGTCACTGGTCACACATTCTAACACAGTCCCGAACTTTGATAGAACACCAGCTCCGCCGGCCTCTCGTCACAGACGAGAAGAGGAGCGGATTTTTCAAGCCCTATATATATATCAATATCAGCACATTTGTATTCTGAGGATTTATGTGCTCTCAGGGGCTGGTTCAAAAATACTGGAGCCATTATTAGGTGCACAGATTTCTGTGCTTTGCTTTTGACTTATATTTGCATTTTGTAAGTATTTGAAACCCAATGTTTGAGTTTTTCAATTAGATTGTTTTGGAGCAGTAGTCACTTA